TGCCATCGCCTCGTTGTGTGCGCTCTGTGGGGCAAGCAAGGCTACACCCAGGTGGATAAGGATGTCTCTTCTGCCCGTGGCCGGCCATCTCCAGCGGCGGAAAGGAGGCCTTACGCGGAGGCGGCACCGCCGAGGAAGAAGAAGCCGGTTCCTGGACCCGGCGAGGGGCTGGATGGGCCTCCTCCGGCGGGGGCCCAGACGCCCGATCCGCCTGTGTGGCCTGGCCGGCGGCCGCTGCCGGCCGCTGGGCTGGCGGAGGGCCCATGGCACGCTGCTCCGCGAACTCTCTCTCTATGCGAGAGGCCAGGGCGGTGTCGTAATCCACATTGTCCGGCAGCTGGCGAAGCCCTGCGTAACTTCTGGCGGCCTGCTCCTGTTTGATGAAGGCCTGGCGCCGGAGGAATTCCTGGCGATGTGGATCCACGATGGGAGCCACAGTGCCATGATCCAGGCCCTCCACGACTTCCCTACCAGGCAGTGCGCTGCAGACCCTCCTCCTAGCCTTTACCTGCCAGGCACAGCCGTGCTGCACCCTGCTGAGGCCTTCGCTGCATCCATCCTCGAGTCCGGCCGCGCCCGCCCGGTACATCTTGGCACTCTGATTGATCTTCTACCCAGCCAGGGGACCGACCGCTTCAGGAGCGAGCAGAACGCTGTGTTTTGTTTGGACCACGGGCGCATACGTGCATGGAGGCTTTGCTGGCCTCCGAAAGGCCTGTTACCGCTTCCCGCTCTCCACAACCCTCGTCTGCGAGGTCGTCAGGGGGGTCTGTCCAGATTTCCCCTTCACTTCTGTCGCCCTCCTAAAGGAGGTTAAGTCGAGCCCCCACAAGGATCTCAACAACCACCTCGAGTGGCCAAGCCTTATATTCCCCGTCGGCCATTTCTCTCAAGGACAGGTGTGGGTCGAAGGTGGCGCAGAAGACCACGTCCTCCATGTCGGGGGGGCCGAGAGGAGAGGCGAGCTACTCCATGTTGCACAAGGCCCCGCGTGGCTCCACGGCCACCGCCTCCACTGCACAATGCCATGGTCTGGGTCGCGAAAGATTGCTGTTGTCTACTCAATCAGAGATTCCAGGGCGTCCCTAGCCTGGAAAGGCGAAGAGCAAGGAAGCTTGGATTTCGCTTCCCAGGGCCTCACAGCTCTTTTCCCTCTGCAAAGCCCGGCGGTCTGAAAATCGACTTTGACTCCACCCTTGGCTTCCCAGGAGAGGGCCCGTCCCTTGCCTTCTTCCTCTTCTGGATTTTACTCCTTGGGTTTCTCGGCCTCTCTAGGGCCGTCCTCGCCCCTCGAAACCAGGCCGACATCGACCGCGCCGCAAAGAGGTCCCCGGCAGGGCTTCAGGGTGGAAGGGTTATTCTGCCTCGTACGGGGTCTAACAGGGCTGACCTAGCTGCAGCTTTTTCGCGATGGCTAGTGGAAGTCGGTGGCTTTGACCTTGCGGCCTTGATCGAGACAAAGCCCCTGGACGACGAGATGATCGCTGATTGGCTGGTCTGTTATGGCAAGGATCTGTATGGGTCAGGACGCCCTTACTGGCACTACGCTGAGACTGTTAACGCTGTAACAGCTATGAGGCCAGTCCTCCGCCGACAAGTGCAGGCAGCTTGGGACTTGGGTTTTGCTTGGCTCGCCGAGGAACCGTCGACGCACCATACAGCCATACCAGCAGTAGTATTAGTAGCTGTTTTAGCTGCCTGTCTTTCCTGGGGATGGGTGGCCGAGGCGGGCTGCTTTTCGCTGGCTTTTGGAGGCCTGATGAGGATCGGCGAGGTTCTACAGGCCACCAGGGGCTCCCTTGTGCTGCCCGAGGACATGCTTTTCTCTCAGCATTTTGTCCTCGTCAGCATAAGAGAGCCAAAGACGAGGAATCGGGGACCACGTCACCAGGCGGCAAAGATTGAGGCCCAAGACCTGGTGAAAGTCATTGGCATGGCTTTTGGTGGACTAAGGAAGGACCAGAAGCTCTGGCCCATGTCCCCTCAGACGCTCAGGAAGCGTCTGGATCATGTCCTGCGCAGAGTCGGAGCTGCCCCAGGACCTAAAGGTGCCCGGCCCATCGATTTAGGATCTTTCAGAGCTGGCGGAGCGGCTTTCCTGCTCCAGCAGACGGAGGACTCTGAGTTGGTCCGAAGACGAGGACGTTGGGCATCGGCAAAGATAATGGAGATATACCTCCAGGAAGTCTCTGCGGCTATCTACTTGCCCTCGCTGCCACGAGAGCAAAAACAAAAGGTGGCCCAGGTTGCTTCTGGATTCGAGGGTATCCTTCAGCAGGCTTGTCAGTGGACACGCCAAGGCATCGAGCGGAACATTTGGTACCGCCTGTGGCCCGAGGAGAATCTACACACGCCCGGAAATTTCGGGAGAGACGGGGCACAGAGCTCTTTTCTCCAGCCGAAGCAAATCCCGGCTGCGACGTGTGCAGACTCCTGAGGATGCAAAAGAGTGCCGAGTCACTGACATTAGTGACGAGGTATGCCGTGCATCTGATTGGTTCAAGTGACCCGCCCACCCTCCCGGGGCACAGAGCTCTTTTCTCCAGCCGAAGCAAATCCCGGCTGCGACGTGTGCAGACTCCTGAGGATGCAAAAGAGTGCCGAGTCACTAGTTAAGGCCCCTTTAGTAGACATCTTGAAGATTGACAGGGAATAAAATGTGACTTTTGCTGGAGTTCTCTTAAGCTATCCGGGCATGCTGTTTCAACCACCCAGACTTGACGCCAAAGCAAGTAGAGGTTTAGGGTTGAGGGATGACTCGCTGTGGCGGGCAGCTCTTCAGAGCGACCTCGTTCAAAAGGGTTTAGTTCAGGGTAGCCCCCAAATCCCAAAGCTTGGAACCAGCACACACACACATAAAAAGGGCCTCAAGACGTCAACACGACCTAAAGACTCATACCCGAACCCCTTTTTGAAAGGGTACCTACTTTTCTATACTTTAAAAAAGATTTAGGCTATGGGCCTCTAGGTATGAGTTGTCTCCTGCAGCCTCCGACCCCCAAACTTCAGACCCTGATTTAAAGTTGTTTGTTTTTTTTTGGAGGGGTGGTTCTGTAGTATGTTTGTGATGGTCCTACAGAGGGCTGCGTGTTTGCGGGCTTGAAAGTAAGTTAGGGTGTCGGATTGCAGTGGGCTTGGGTCCATAGATTAGGGGTTATAACGGCATTAGGCGCAATAACATGACATGGAAATGTTTCGTCATATTTTCATACGCAATTTTTCTCCAGTTTCCGCCCTAAAACCCAAAACTCCTAAACTAGGCTGGAGTTTTGTCATCGGTGCCTTTGTACAGCTTTAGGCAAAGTTCCACGGACTGCTGGTTGAACTGTGGGTCTCCTTCTCTACTGAATGGGGTTGACGGGTTTGGGGTTTAGAGTGTAGGAGGGTATAGGGTCTAGGGTATATGGTTTATGGTTTTGGGGTTTAGAGTGTAGGGTTTAGGGTATAGGGTTTATGGCTTTACGGTTTAGGGTATAGGGTTTAGGGTTCTGACTGACGTTTTGGGTTTTGGGGGTTTTCAGGTTCGGGTGGCTGAGGAAAGCTATTGGGATGTGGATAAGAAAGTTGATTCAGAAAGCGTCGTAAGGCTTTGTGCAGTGCCTTCTCAC